AACTCACAACCTGACGCTTGCCAGGCAAGTGCTTACACTGCTGAGCAAATCCCCACCCTTGTTTTGTTTTTTGAGACAAAGTCTCACTGTATAGTTCACTCTGGCCTGGAACTCACTATGTAGCCCAGGCTGGCCTGAAACTCACAGCCTCCTGAGTGCTGGAATTAACAGATGAGCACCACCACACCTGGCTGCAATGTTGAATCTTAAATCTTGATGATCGAAAGGACTGTATCATAATTCCACTGGGGAAAAAAAAAAGGAAAAGAAACAGGTTTGGGCACAGGAAGAAGATTGTGAATTGAATCCTGGACAAGCTGATCTGAGATACACCTAGAAGCTTAGAGACAGGCTAAAGGTATAAGGTATAATATGGATTTTAATGTGATTTACACAGAGTGACATACAGATGGACAAAATAAAGAAAAAAAAGGAGAAATTATTGAATCAGCCATAAAAGGATGGAGAAAAAATAATTTCCCTAGGGAAGGAGGAAAGGTTGAAATCCAAAAACCAAGATAAGTATCTAAAGATGGTGGTTTTCATTGTGTGGGAGTCAAAGAGAATGGTCCTAAAAAACTAGTCTGGCTTCCTCTGACAGCCTTGAAGAAAATTTTTCAGACACAGTAGCAGAAGCCAGATTACAAAGAGATAGAGTTAGTCAACACAGAAAGCTGGTGTAAATTATTACACACCCTCTGTCTCTCTAGGAAGGGGACTGAACCAAGACTTTCATACTCAGCTACATTCACAGTGCTTTTTAAGTTTTTTTTTAATCTATTTTATTTGTTTATTTGTCCTACTAGGGATATCTCCAGCCCTTTGTTTTATTTTTTATTTTCTGACAGGTCTTATTAAGTTACTCAGACTCAAATTTGCAATTCTCCTGCCTCAGTCTCCCAAGATGCAGGAATTACAGGTGTCTATCACCATGCCAAGCTAAACTGCTTTGCTTTTCTGAGCCTGATTTTTATTAAACCTGGATCACAAGGTTATTGTAAGAATTAAATGAAATAACATGAGCTTGGTGACAGGTAACTTTATTTTTTAATTGTATTGGAACAATTTTGCAGTGATGATTGCATTCACTGTGGGAAGTTAATACATGCACATATTTCTTTTTTTGTCTCCCCCTCAACTGTTAGTCCCCGTTTCAGCAAAAGATCTGACAGATAACTTTATAAATTGACATATAAAGAATCTTTTTTTTTTTTTTTAAGATACCAGGTTCAAAGTCAGGGATGCTCTACCACTAAGCTATACCCTAGTCCTTTTTGTGTTTTTAGAAAGTATCTCTCTACATTACCCAGCCTATCCTGAAATTTGCAATACACCTGTTTCAGTCTCCTGAGTAGCTTGGATTATAGACCTGAGTCATTATGCCCAGCAGAACTTGATTATTTTTTAGTGCTCAAAACTGACAATTATTTAAAAAGTCCCTTTGAACTCTAAGATAATTGCAGTTGAGCACTGCTGGATCTCACACTCTCAAACAACACTTTTTTTGGTACCAGGGATTGAACTCTTCACAACCTTGCGCTTGCCAGTCAGGCACTTATACTGCTGAGCTAAATCCCTCCACACTTATTTTGCTCCTTCTGGATAAGGGTTAAAACAAAGTTTATGGGAATAAAGGTGTCAGAAGTGATTAAAAGGACAAAAAAGGTTTATTTATTTTATTTTATTTTATTTTATTTTATTTTATTTTATTTTATTTTATTTTTGTATGCATGCATCGTTAGAGTCCTAACTTCATCAGGCTAGAAGTTAAAGAAAAGAGAAATGCCCTGTCTGTCTGGCAGCAGCGCCAGAGGCACTTCCCTCCCTGAAACCTTTGGCTGTCCTGTCAGCTACAGCAAAGCAAACGAACAACAGTGCTACTTGGTTTTCTGCTGTCGCTGAGATCCACAAGGGTGGGGAAGGCGCAGGTAAACCATGACCTAACTTTTCAGACTCCTGGGCTGAGCTGACTCTGTTGTTTGTTTGGACCCTACCATCTTCCCATACACTTCAGTGTTTCTACCCTCATGACTGGAGTTTACAAATTTTTTCTTTCTACCTTGGACTAAAGAACTGAGAAAGAAGAATCAGGGGCAGATGTTTATCAGAATCGTGGCTTATAAGGTGAAAGGTTATAAACAACTCTGTCGAGGAGGCCTCCTTTTCAGCACATGCCTTAGCTACAGGCTTGCTAGGCAGCTGCTCTTGCCAAAATCAAACAGTATTTTGGCATTGAAGACAACTCAGGCATATGTAGAGCAAACAAGCAGTCTTTACTCACCTCTGCAAAATGGGAAGATAAGGAAAAATTAAACAGAGAAACAGAACGAGAGAGAGCAGCCACAGGAATTGGGGGAGGGAGGTAAACTGGAAATCAAACCCAGGACCTTGCACTTAACCAGGCAGGTACACTGCTGCTGAGGTACATCCCCGGCCCCTGCTATAGGAGTTTTAGAAATTAAAATTTCAAAAGGTCATTTAAATATCAGTATTCTCTAAAACGTCTTGAATCAACGCCATCTTGATCACCACTTTTCTCGTTACCTCAAAATGTATGTAGTTACATCTCATACTATTTGCTGTAACAATACTGATTCATGTGTTTTGGTAAGCATTTTGGTGTCATGTATCTCCATACATTTTCACATCCATCAAACTAAAATTTTCTAGAAGTCATAATTTTTGTTCTTTTTGACACAGAATCTTGCTATGTAGTCCAAGCTGCCCTTGATCGCCTATGTAGCCTAGGTTGGCCTCGAATTTGAGGCAATCCTCCTGCCTCAGCCTCTCTAGTGCTGAGATTACGTGCACATACTACCATGCCAGCCAGAATTATTTTTTTTGTCTTTTTTGAGATGGGGTCTCACTATGCAGTTCAGGCCTTGAGCTCACTTTGTAGCCCAGGCTGGTCTCGAACTTGCAACGCTCCTCCTGCCTCAGTCTCCCGAGTGCTGGGATTACAGGTGTGAGCCACCACGCCCAGCTCAGAAGCCATAATTTTGAGCTTTTAAAATTACTTCAGTGAGAAGCCGATTGCGATGGTACCTGAACTACATCATGACAAGACCCTGTCTCAAAAAATAAAATAACTTCAGCGAGTCTCACCTTCCCTACCCTTAATAACTCAGTATTGTTTGCTATCTGAAAACACCTAGAACCTAGTTGGTTAATTTCCTAGAACAGGGTGTTACTTCAACCCACACACCCTAAGGATCAACATGTTCCTGTGTGTGTTTTCTAACAGTCTTGATGCCTGATTCTGAACTTGCTTAATATTGGGGTTGAGTTGTAACTTGTTAGCCTCAGGATGTCAATCCAGTTAGGGTTTATGAGGAAGGAAGACAGGGCCTTAACTTGCTGTAGCTGACAGGCATTGAATGGCCTTCCTTTTGCTGAGGTGGTGAGATTTTTGTATACTCAAAGACACCAATTTCTCCATTTTAAGCTTAGGAACATTATCTTCCTCTTTTCAGTACAAGGAATGAGGTAATAATCTCACAGCCCAGTGCAAACACAGGAATCCAAGAAAACAGGCTAGAATTCCTTCTCTACATATAAAGTTTTGGGAGTAATATCAGGAATTGGCTCCCAAGGCATTCTGCAGTTAGCAAGGGAAACCTGGTGGAGCAGGTAGCCAATGAAATCTACACAGAATAGCCAGAATCTGAGTCCAACCCCTGTTGCTCTGGACAGTGCTCTGATGGTCCATTACTTCTCCCTTTTCCTTTCCTATTGATTTCTAAACTACCTAGGGAAAAAAAAATAAGGAAAGTGCTCAATGTTGGTTATAAACAGGAGCACTATCTTGCTTTTAATCAACGCAAATATTGTATATGGGACAACAGGTTTACAGATGTAAACCAGAGTGATGGTGCATTCCTGTAATCCCAATACTCGGGAAGCTGAGGCAGTAAGATTTCCCAAGCACAAGGCCAGCCCATGCTACTTAGTGAGTTGAAGGCCAGACTGGACTACATAGTGAGACACTTTTAAAATTAAGGGGGAAAAAAGAGTTTGTGAGTGTACATTTGATTTATTGAATTTAGAGAGACGAAAACAAGAAAGCATAAAAATATCTCAAGAAAAATGATGAAGTTTTTGTTTTTGTTTTTTCCTGAAGAAGAGGGGTAGATTCTTGGAGTTCTGAGGACACATCCATCTCACTAAAGACGTAATAAGGGAAGCAGGAGAACATAGTGTTCTCAACTTAGCAGGTATACATTGATGAGGGGATAAGCAACAGGATGTGGACGATGTCTAACTATTTCTGTCCCAGAAACCAATAGCTCAGAGCTCCCGGGAGGGGCAACGGCAACGCAGCACCCAGGCTGAGGAGCTGGGGAGGAACATGGTCCCGGCCCGTGGCCCGCGGAGGTCGGAGAGGAGGAGAAGTGCGGGACGAGCTCCCACTTGTTTCAGAACAGCAGTTTTTGTGAGGGGTTTTAATAAAGATCAGGCCGAGAGAAGGCCAAAGAGGAATGGTGAATAGCAACATTTACACTCCCTGCCCTCCGCCCCAATCCTAAAGTATTCTTGGCGCTGTGGGGTTGTTTTTCACAGACTTGCGACTTGTGAGCCAGGAATAAACAGCAGCGTCTAAATTGCCCCGGTTAAAGCTGGACATGAAATTCCCTCATAAGCACATTTTCTAGTAAATTAAAAAAAAAAAAAAAAAGCCGCTACCAGACCCACATCTACGATCTCGCCCTGGACAGGTTTCAGTCTTCAAAACAGAGTCGGATCCCCTCGGGGAAGCCAGCACCCCCCCCCCATTCCCTCCTCCTGGGCAGCGGCGCACCCAGGCACAACAACCACGCTCCGGTCCCGAGCACTCTTTGTCCACGAGCCCTTGAGAGCGCGCTGATTGGTCGGGCTTCTGGTAAACACGGATAAGGCAGCCAATGGGAGGGCTGTGCACGAGGGTAGCACGCGCCTCTGGGTTTGCACTCCAGTGGCTCAGCGGGCGCTGCCTACTATATATGCAGGGAGTTTCCGGCTCCAGCTCCTAACTCTGCTTTCCGCTTTGGGTAGAGTCACTCGTAGCAGACCTGCTAGACCCGGAGCTCTCCTCCAGCACCTGGAGAGTTTTTTTTTTTCTTTTTATTAAAAACTCCTGGCATAGCTAGCCGACATTTTCAGGCATCTTTTTGAAAGTAAAGGTTCCTTTGTGGGCATATTTTTAATTTTGTTTTTAAAGCCACACCTGCTTAAGGACACTTTTCGTTCCCTTAAGGAAGAGTGAAATCTTAACTTTTGCTAAAGGGTCTTTCAATTGGATTTGGGGTTTCATTTTGTTCTTGCTCCTTTTGCGGGCTCCAGAGCCGTTTTACCCCGATCATGGTGATGTTCAAGAAGATCAAATCTTTCGAGGTGGTCTTTAACGACCCCGAGAAGGTGTATGGCAGCGGAGAGAAGGTGGCTGGCCGAGTGGTTGTGGAGGTGTGTGAAGTCACTCGAGTCAAAGCCCTGAGGATCCTGGCTTGTGGCGTGGCCAAGGTCGTGTGGATACAAGGATCGCAGCAGTGCAAGCAGAGCTTGGACTACTTGCGCTATGAAGACACACTTGCCCTGGAGGACCACCCCACAGGTGAGCGCAGCACACCCCCACCCCTGCCCCCTACCCCCTACCCCCGTCACCGCTCGAGGGGTAAAGCTAATTGATCTGAAAAGGGTACAATGAGCCTGTACTACATGTTTTAAATCTCTCAGTTCGAGTGTTTGAATTATGTGTTTCTTCCTGTTTCTTAGTTTTAATTTGCAAACATGTCCCTGCCATCTACCCCGTGATTATTCGATTGTTTTAAAAATTTCTGTATACATAAGTTGCTTGGTCTTTGCTTTTCTGGGCAAGCCTTTCAAAATTGCAAAGTGAAATTGCATCCGAATCTTTGATTTACGAACATAAGGAAACCAGGGGGTGGTGGTGCATGCCTGTAATTCGAGCACTCTGGAGACTGAGGCTGGAGGATCCTTGCAAGTTTGAGACCAGCCTAGGCTACAAAGTGAACTCAAAAGGAGCCTGAACTGTATAGCAAGACCCTGTCTCAAAAACACAAATAAATAAATATAAAAGTAAAAAGGGGGGGTGGAAATGGGTTATAGGATCCCTTTTGTGTCCAATGCAGGCAGGCATCTTAATCATATAGGTACATTTCAAGTGTAACCAGAAAACTAACGGTTAGCTTTTTTTTTCTCTCCTTCAGGTGAGAATGAGGAGATGGTGATCATGAGACCTGGAAGCAAATATGAGTACAAATTCAGCTTTGAACTTCCTGAAGGGTAGGTTATCAGCTAAACGCATCTTTGGACTCTTGTTTCTTAAAAAAAAAAATTTTCCTTCTGTGATCACTTACTGTTCTTGGAAAGCGTTTTAAATGTGCCTCCTCCAACTTTTTTTTTTTTTTTTTTTTGGACACAGGCCTCTGGGAACATCCTTCAAAGGAAAATATGGTTCTGTGGACTACTGGGTGAAGGCTTTTCTTGATCGCCCCAGCCAGCCAACTCAGGAGACAAAGAAACACTTTGAAGTGATGGAGCTGGTGGATATCAATACTCCAGACTTAATGGTGAGGTTCATTTCAAGATTCTGTTGTACTTAGTCACAGGATGATAAAGGGTCTTGGGCATTAGACTGAAGTATCTCAAAATACCTTTTGCACAGGAACCAGTGTCTGCTAAAAAGGAGAGGAAAGTTTCTTGCATGTTCATTCCTGACGGCCGTGTATCTGTCTCTGCTCGAATTGATAGAAAAGGATTCTGTGAAGGTAAAAACCTAGTGCTGAAAATGGTTGACAGATATAACAGGAAATAAGGGTTTGGGAATGGAGTTAAAAGACATGGGGTAGGAGCAGAAGGGACGTCATTAGTTGTACTGTTGGTCAATATGTTTTCATCTTTTTTTATTGTTAGGTGATGACATTTCCATCCACGCTGACTTTGAGAACACATGTTCCCGCATTGTGATCCCCAAAGCAGCCATTGTAGCCCGCCACACTTACCTTGCCAATGGCCAGACCAAGGTGCTCACTCAGAAGTTGTCATCAGTGAGAGGCAATCATATTATCTCAGGGACATGTGCGTCATGGCGAGGCAAGAGCCTTCGAGTGCAGAAGATCAGGCCATCTATTTTGGGCTGCAGCATCCTTCGAGTTGAATATTTCTTGCTGGTGAGTTGAATGGGTGTAGCTGTGGGAAAGTTGTTTATTGCAAGAGTGGTTTTCCCCTAGGCCTCTTATCTAACAAACTCCCAATTTCCTTTCTAGATATATGTTAGTGTCCCTGGCTCCAAGAAAGTCATCCTTGACCTGCCCCTGGTGATTGGCAGTAGGTCAGGCCTGAGCAGCCGGACATCCAGTATGGCCAGCCGAGCTAGCTCTGAAATGAGCTGGATAGACCTAAACATCCCTGATACCCCAGAAGGTGAGCCACCCTGATGCTTTTTCTCCTCCCCTGGCCAATTTAAGATTGTAAAATTATAGCCGGGCATGGTGGCTCACACCTATAATCCCAGCACTTGGGAGGCTGAGGCAGCAGGACCACTGCGAGTTCAAGACTAGCCTGGGCTACAAAGTGAGCTCAAGGCCAGCCTGAACTGCATAGCGAGACCTTGTCTCAAAAAGGGGGGGGGGGATTTAGCTCAGCGGCATAAGCACCTGCCATGCCTGCCTTGCAAGCAGGCAGTCATGAGTTCGATCCCCAGTACCAATAAAAAAGAAAAAGACAAAAAAAGATTGTAAAATTATGATGGTTTGGCATTTCTTGGCTAGGTTTTTTATCCCTGTAAATTTTTTTCACCGTAGCTCCTCCTTGTTACATGGATATAATTCCTGAAGATCACCGATTGGAGAGCCCGACCACTCCACTGCTGGATGACAGTGATGGATCTCAAGACAGCCCAATTTTTATGTATGCTCCTGAATTCAAGTTCATGCCACCACCCACATATACTGAGGTGAGAATGGTCATTTCATATTAATCCTAAGCCTTCTGAATTGGTTGGCTTTGGGGGATTGCTAAAGGAGGCTGCTCTTTCCCAAAGTGACACAGTCTCTTCTTTGTTACTTTTCAGGTGGATCCTTGCATCCAGAATGATAATGTGCAGTGAGTAAGTGGAAGAAAAGCAGCTGTACCTGTTTCTTTCCACCTCTCTTCTGGACTCTCACAGTCTCTGCAGTGGGGTAGGAGGCCCCCCCAGCCTCAGACCCCCCCAAAGCAGATGGTGATCAGCAGGCAGTTTTTGGGCCTCGGATGGCATGGACTCATCATCAGCCAGCACCAGTGTTGGACTATAGGAGTGTTTGCTGGATGGGTTTTAAAACACACTAGAAAAATTCAGGCTCATTCCATTTTCTTAGATCTTGAAAACTGAGGCATTTTTCATTAGTCGGGTCTTTTTTTTTTTGAAGGAAATTATAGATTGTTAGAACATCATCAAACTCCAAACTCTTGTGCTGTGTGGAACAGTTAAGTGAACCAGGGAAAAGAAGTTTTTAAAATCAGTATTTCCTGTTGTTGTGTACATGTACAAGAAAAAAAAAGAAAAGCTGCTGCAGGGCTAATTTGGTTTCTGCTCTAGAGAATGCTTCTCCTGTGAGTTCTAGGGAAGCTTCTCTGACATGTCTTTGCTTAGAATACAATTCAACCTAGCTTAAAGCAGTAGCTACTATTGCCCACCAAAGGTCTTAAAAGCCATTTAGAGCCTTCTTGCACTGTGTTCTCCTGTTGCAAACTTACATGGGAGGATCTGTTTTTCTGTGACTCCTTGGAAATGGTTCCAAGGTGATACTCTCAGCACTTTAGTTCCTGTCATTTTTTTGTTCTGTGTTATTCCCCATCTCACATGTAAGCTACTAGTCACTAGGGGTGTGCATAATGATACGCACAAATGTGTATTACTTTTGAGACTGTCCCTGTGTGCAGAATTGTATAATTCTGACACTAATCATATAAAGGGTTGCTGCTTTTAGCCTCGCCCACTGTGACTTCCTAAATCCAAGGAGGGACTCTGGAACAAATGCCCCAACACTGATCAGAGCCTCCAGACACTGCCATGAGAAACTAGAGGGTCTCCTGGACCCCCTGCCCAGTGTTAAGAGAGGGGGTGCTGGCCCCTCTTCTCACCATAGCCACTGGCACTTGATCAGCACCCCCCCCCCGCCCCAACCAAAGCACTTTGTTTGCTGTCCTGTGTCAGAGCACTGAGCTCTACCCTTTGCTAAGAATTTTTATGGCCAGAAAAGTACATGGGCTGAAGGTGGTGGTATTTCTGTTTTTGTATTTTGTGTAACTTTTTGTATGATTAAAAACTATATTTTATACTTAACCAGATGTATTTTCACCCCATGTGGGGGATATTCTTTGTAAAAAATTTAAAAATAAAAAAATTTTAATGGCAAAAAGTGTTTCTTGTCTCTGGGATAGCACTGGCAAAAATTAAGAGAAGTTATCCTTGAAGTAGCTTTCCCCTACTTGACAGTTCTGTTGCTGAAGACAGTTCCCTCCGGCCTCCTGTGTCCAGCTTGGGGGAATATTGAGTTAAGGGATTTGTGCTAGTTTTCTCTCTTACGATTCACTCAGGAACTATAGTAGGTTCTTCTGTTGGTCTAAGCTAGTATCCCACATTCACAGCTATACTAAATTCTTTCATTTTTTGAGTTCATGAGTTTCTGAATACAGAGAACCCATTTGTGAAGGCATTTGTAAGGGAAGTGTTAAGGTTCCGAACCCAAGGTCTTCACACTGCTGTACCTCCAGCCCTTTTTTTAAATTTTGAGAGTCTAGAAGCCTTAAATTGACCAGGCTGCCCTCAAGTTTCAGATCATTATACTTCCCTCCCAGAGTACTTATGGCTTGTGTTACCATTTACCACATATTTTTCAATTTCTGTAGTACTGGGGCTTTCAATAAGAGACAGAGATGAGAACCACACCCCCAACCCCAAAGATTCCTATTTTTACAGCTTTTTATTATAAACATTCTTCCCAAAATAAGCCTGGTTTATGTGCTGACAAGCATAACCATTCAGGACTTCAGAGTTTTAGTCATGAATATCATGACTATTCTTCAGAGGCAGCTTCTTTTGTTTTCAGCCTATGTAGTTCAAGGCTTGTCTAATTTTGTTTTTGGTTTTGCTTTTGTTTTTGTTTTTAATCAGGAATCAAACTCCTCAAGACCCTGTGCTTGCCAGGCAGGCACTTGTATTCCTGAGCTAAATCTCTGGCCCTTTGGTTTGGTTTTGAAACAGGGTCTCTGTGTGGAGTCCAGGCTGGCCTTCATCTCTGTAAGTAGCGTGAGCTGCTCTTAAACTCAAAGTAGTACACATGCCTCAGCCACATCCTGATGACAGCTACCAGCTTTATCTGTAGTTCCTAGCACATATTTTGTCCAAACACATAATCATAACTCAGTAAATCTTTGCTGAATATTTAACCATCCTCATCCTTTAGGATATGTTAAGGTAATTCCTGTTTATTTCTTCAGGGTTTTTGTTTTTTGGTGTTTGTACTAGGAATTGAACCTAAGATCTTTGCACTGAGCTACATTCCCAGCTCTTTTTAAAAGTTTTAATATTTATGTATTTTTTAATACTGTATAATTTAGACAGGCTATTTAGTTTTTGAGACAGTGCCTCACTATGTAGTTCAGGCTGGGCTTAAACTCATGGCAATCCTAGTTTCAGCCTCTTGAGTGCTGGAATTACCATCCCTAATAATAATTTTTCATGTAGAGTCTTGCTAATTTGTCCAGGCTGGGCTCAAATTTAGGATTTTCTTGTCCCAATACTGGAATTACAGGTATGTCCCATCACAATCAACTGCAAAATATTAATAGCAGATTCAACCTGGCATGGTGGTGCACACCTATACTAAGGAGGCTGAGTCAAGAGAATTGCTACAAAGTTGAGGTCAGCCTAAATTATGCAGCGGGACCTGTGTCAAAAAAAAAAAAAAAAAAAAACTGATGATGTAGCTCAGTGTGAAGGATCTGGGTTCAATCCTTAATAATGAAAATAATAAAATAAATAAATATGAGTTGAACAGAAAGAACTGAAAAAAGATCTTTTCCATTTCAATCTTCATGTTTTGTTTGCTTATTTACCTTACATTCTCCTCGTCTCATTTGTTCTTTTCCTCTTGATCCTCATGGACTCTGTTTCTCATGACCACTTTTGCAGTCTCTAACTCTCCCTATTGCTATGGTGATTTTCACCTGGACTTCTCCCCTTCTTTATCACCTGTTCAAAAATTTAATGGCTTCTAGGTCAAAGCTGATGGGAAAGTTATCTGCAGCTTGTTTTCCAGGGACTAGAAGGGTGGAGCAAGGACAGAAACAAGCCCAAGGGCAAGATAGGGATGGGGAGCCGGTGAAGCTCCTGAGTCTGGTTGTTTGTATTCCCTAGCTACTGGCATCTTATGTAAGAAGGGGGAAACTGGGCATGGTGGTGCACACCTGTAATCTTGGGATTTAGGAGGCTGAAAGCAGAAGGATTGTTGTTTGAGGCCAGCCTAGGTTACACAATGAGTCAAGGGTAGCTTCAACTACATGGTGTTACATTGCCTCAAAAGACAACAAAAAGAAGGGGGCTGGCAGGAACAGGATCCATAGTAACTCTGTGCCCAAGGCCCCTCTAGAAGGACTGGAGCACATACACCCCCTCCTGATACTCTGATGCCCCTAATCCAGCACTAATCAGAAGCACTTTCTATGATGATGGAAATATGCTGTCCACTACAGTAGCCGCTAGTGACATGTGGCCACTGAGTCCTGAAATCTGGCAGCTGTGATTGATGAACTGATTTTATTTATTTATTGGACTGGGATTGAAACCAGGGCTTTGCTCCAAATTACATCACCACTCCTATTCTATTTTTATTTTGAGACAGAGTCCTGTTAAATAGCGAAACTATCCAGGTTGGGTGAGAATTTGTGATCCTCCTGCCTCAGCCTCCCTGGGTGCTGGGATTACTGGTTTGTACCAACATGTCTGACTTGAGTTTAATTGGATTAATTTAGCTTTAATTAGTTTCCCGTGGCTGGCAACTACCATATTGAACAAGACAGCAAAACCTAAGGAAGGAAGTAGCTAGAGCTGTTTCACCAGAGGAAACGCTTCCTCCTTCAGAACACAAAAGGCGGCACCCTTTTGCCTTCTCTACACAGTTTCTGCCTCAACCCAGGATATTTTCAGCTGATACAGGCTTACCCAAACACACTTTCCTGCATAACAACTCAGCTGTTTGCACACTGAGTGGGTAGCTTTTTAGGCCATTCTCTTCTTATGCTCTGATTGATAAAAGAATGGTATAGTCAGAGTCCACCATAGGGACAAAGGACAAATGAACTCCTGGGCCCATAACCTGTTACTCATGAAAAGCACTATTTGGGTTTTCTTCTGAGACAGAGATTTAAAAGTGATTTTTGTTAAAAACCATGACTCTTTACTTGGGTTTTCTGATGCTCAATAGGAAACTAAAAGCAGAAAAAAAACCTTGACCTTCATTTTATATCCTTTGTTACCTTAAAATTTTGGGTCAAATCCCTTCTCAGTGTTGTACATATGTACTTTAATCATTTAGCAAGTACCTGTCTAAAAGTTAGTAAAACAAAATTGAATATTCCTGAATTGATACAATTTCATATGCTTAAAGACTGAGTCGACGAGGACTTCCGGGAGAACATGGCGGACAGATAACAGCAACTACCGGAGGCTCTCTGAAAGACTCGGCTCAGAAGCCAGGAATGGTGCGGACTAAGGAGACATAAGCAGGTGGAGATATGCTCTGCTGACTCAGGAACGAACTGGGCTGAGAGAAGCCAACTTGGAATGCAGTCCTGGTGCTAAAACAGGAACCGAAAAGACTCGGTGTGGAGGCTGGAACCGCGCCATTGTAAGCCGCGATTTGGGTTTCCCGCCGCATGGCGGCTGGCTGCCTCTACAGCGGCTCGGCAAGGAAAGAGACGCGCAGAAGCTCTGAGAACGGCAATCTGCGAACGGCAGGGAGGCGTGCACTGACTTGTGGTGAGTGAGTGAGAGAAACTGACACTCTACCACAGTTTGACTCCAGCAGAGGACTTTCTGGGCCCGAGCAGTCCTGCGGGAGCAGGGCACGGTGGCGACTCCTGCCACACATCCCCCTCTCGGGTGGGATTGGTGAAAAGTGCCTGGCCTGCGTGACGCTGCCAGCGGACCTGGTAGGCTGTCCCAACCCAGATCCCAGAGCCTGACGGTGGCCGGGAGGGGAGACGCGTAGGCTGCCTGGTCCATAACTCCCTGGTGCGCAGCGGTGAGCGGGAACACCTAGCTGGCGCAATTCGATCAGGCTGTGGCTGACTGGGAGAGAAGCTGGGCCTCTTATATAAGCTTTCATATATAAGGAACAGAGAAGAAGAGGCAGAATGGGAAGAGGCAGCAACAAGAAAGGCTCCTCGGCCCCCAATTCTGAGAAACAGGCAATAGCAGACACCGCACCAATACACATAAGGCACCATATAGAGAGCCTCATAGACCAATTCAGGAATGAAGTTATCAATGACCTGAAGCTAGAAGTATGCAGAATAGTTAGAGAAATGCTAAGTACCACCCAAGAAAAAACAGGTGGTGGAATGGAAGAACAGAAAAAAAGGGGAGAATTGTTGGATGGAGAAAACAGAGAAAGCATAGAATACGTGAAGCAGGTTCAAAGGGACTACCAAGATACTAAGAAGTCTATAGAAGACTGGCATAACAGCTTGAAAGAAACTAAGGACAGACTATCTGAACTGGAGGGCAGACTTGTAATATGGGAGAATGAAATGAAAAACTTCTTAAAAATAACAAAGAAACAAACAGCAATAATACAAAGACAAGAAGATGATAAGAGGATCCATAACTTAAGGATTAAGAACATAAAAGAAGAAGTAGGGACACAAACAAGTGAACTACAAAAGCTACTCACAGAAATAATCCAGGAGAATTTTCCTAATTTAGCAAAGGGTAAAGATACTCAGATGTATGAGGCATACAGGACCCCAGCTACCTACAACCCAAACAGAGCAACACCCAGGCATATAATAATAAAAATTCCAGAAATTCAATACAAGAGCAGAATATTAAAAGCTGTAAGAGACAAGAAACAGACCACTTACAAGGGAACACCCATCAGAATTACAGCAGATTTCTCTGCACAAACCATCAAATCACGAAGAGCGTGGGGGGAAATAATTCAAGCATTGAAAGATAATAATCTCCAGCCAAGATTGAGATATCCTGCACAACTGTCCCTGGAAATTGATGGAAAAACAAGGTGCTTCCAGGATAAAGAGGAACTGGGGGAATTTGCAACCACCAATTCAACTCTACAGAGAGTATTGCAGGATATTCTAAATAAAGAAAAATACAAAGAATCCAGAAATAATGGCA